CCACCATCACGGCGCTGGGGAGGACGGGGAGGGCACCGACGGGGCAGCGGTGCAGGGCAAGGGCAAGGAGATGACCAGGAAAGCCTCCGGCAGTGGACGGATGAAGCCTCGGCTTAATAAGATCCGCTTCAGGACTCAGATCATCCACAACACACCCTCTTTCCGTGGGGACACCGAGGAGGAAGAACACGAGGAGAAATCCCTGAAAGCATCCTTCAAGCTCAGGCCCAAGTCCAACGTGTTTGGATAAGGCCGGGGCGGGAGGTCTGGGAGGTGGGTGCAAGGACCAAAGTGCCCTCAGGTGTAGCACAGAAGGCGAGGCAGGTACGAGTGGGTGCTCATCTACACTCATGGGCTCTGGCCAGATGGGTCCAAAGGATCTTGCTTCAACTCTCAGTTCGGTGGGGCCTGTGAGTCCAGGGCTCTGGGAGCTTACAAATCCCAAGAGCAGCTGCTTTGGCTGTGCCCTGAGTGCTGAAGTGAGAGGCAGTGGGTGGGTTGAGAAGCACTGGGGTGTTTAAAAGCTGTGCTCCTTTCTCTCGAAAAGCAAGCTCCAGTGTGGGAAACCTGTGTTAGTGCATCTACTAGGGTTAGCGAGTCGAGTGGGAGAAAGGAAAGTGCAAATGCTTTACTCTTATATCATCAAGTGGTACTATAAACTACTAGCAGACAACTTGCAGTGTCGGAAGGACACCTCAGTAATATGCAAGTATACCTTAAGTTTCTCTTTCTCAGCAATACCACCTGGCACAGTGTGGAGTTGGGTACCCAAAGTGAGACGGTAGAGAATGATTCCCTGTCAGAATCCAAGCTTCAATCCATCAAAGACTTCAGCCTGTGTTGACTTTATGCATTGAAAATTGCCTGATTTGACATCATGAATATATTTCTCTTTAAACCACTGCGCTGCAAACAATGAATAAAGTTAACCATGTGCAGAAGTCTCTGCTGTCTGAGGTACTACTGAGCTTGCTTATCGCTGTTGGAATACTAATACGAGATGATAGAAGCAAAGAGGTTTTTATATATTTGACATCTTATGTTTTGTCTTAGGCAAAGCAACTTTATTTTACTCACTGTGAATTCTCAAGTGCCAGACCTAGCGCAGTTCCTCTTATTGAGTCTGGTCAATTCTTGTTAGTGTTCTCTGTGTTACTGCATTTAAAACCAGAACATTGTGTTGTCTGTGTAACCCGTGAAAGTCGTTGTCTTTTAGAGTGAAAGAGCACAGACACCATTGCATGAAACCTTCAGGAAACTCTAATATGCTCCTGTAATGTAATAGCTCCACGTCTGTGTTCACTAGTAACTCGTGTGCCAATCCCTTCAACTGACTCTGTGCAGAAATGGAGAAAGAGATAAAACACAGGAGGAGACAAAAAGGAAGGTGTGTGAATTCACACACGGGAGAAAACTAGAGCTCTGCAACTCTATCCCTGTTTTAAGTGAAGCAGCATAATGACATACTCTAGCTAAGTGATGGCAATGGTGTTTGAGTTCTTTTAAACCTGTGTTTCTAGAGAAGTGATAGCCAAAGCTTTCAACTGTTGTTTAACAACCTAGGAAGTCTTAATCTGATCGATGAGCCTATCCGTCTGCTAAAGCTTTCGGGAACCTTGAATCTTGTTTCTCTGCTTTAAAGGTAGCAATCCCAGTGAAACCTAGGAGGAAGACTTGTATCCATATTCAGCTTTCCTTAAGACTTGAGGTACTGAGCTGATCCTGTAGCCTGAATGCTGCCCACGGTAGCAGCTCCTCTGTATTTAGATGTTAAGGTGTGGCCAGTTTCAATGCCAACATCTCTCCAAGCATGTTTGGAGTTGGCTTCTTTAGAGTGTGTGTCTGGACGGGAGCTAACCAAGAGTAGATAGGCTTTGACATGTTGAAATCCAAATTTGAGACACTGATTACATGCCTGCCACGAGCTGTAGAACATCTCACAGGGAACCTGCTGCTGGGAGTTGAGCACTTGGAAGGTAATAGCTGTCTTGGGGCTACTGCTGGTGGCTAACAGTTCTTGTAGCCACAGGGGAAGAAAGTGCTACTGATTCATTGGCTTCAGGCTTCCCATACAGATAAATGATCTGCACTTTGTGTCAAAACCTAATAAATGCATTGGCATGCAAGTGACACTTCACTATTTCTGGGAGAAGTTACATTACATAACTGCTGGTCATGACTTTTGTGCAAGAAAAAGAATGGAAATGGTACAGAGGTTCAGCTTTAGTTTACAATTTATAAGCTATATTGTTAGAGATTTCACGTGCCTTCATTTTGGGTTGGTTGCCACAAATGTAGGGGGTAAAAATCAGTCTTGCAAAGCACTTTGTCTTTACATCTGTGGGGCAGGACCAGAACTTTTCCCTCAGCCCTTCCCTCTGAAGACACTTGTACAACAGTGGGGTGGGAATAGTTATGCAGATTACAGTGTAGAGCTAATTCTATTGTAACAGAAAAGAGAATTAAATGCCCAAGGCTTACACTTTCTTCTCTCTGGAAGGCAAACAGCTTTTTAGACTTCTGTAGAAAGGAAGTTTTCTGACTGAACACTTGCAACCTGAGTCCCCTTCAGCGTGGCCACATTGCATTGTACACACTGCAACCACCAATGTCCAAACCTTGTTAAAGTAACTTTCTGCATTGAGAGTTTGTAGTTCTTTTACTACAAGCAGTTGGGTAAAGTGTTTCTCTCTCCACATGCAAAGAATTGCACAAAAGTACTGAGACTTAGCTAGCTATTGGGTTCTGGGGAAATAACTTGAGGGTTTTGACTATAGCACACCTTGGTTTTTAGGAGGCTAACTGGAACATAATCTCATGTAGTACGGTAGAACTTTGATAACTTGAAAAATAAGAAGTAGAGGCCTGATTTGTAACTCATTCTTTGAAGTATCAAAGTGAAATTGTTGGCCCACTGGTGCTGTTTAGCTGCCAATTAATGAAATTTCACCACAAGGGTCCAAAGGTCTTTGCAAGGTTTGGAGCAAACATCTCTTTTGGTGTTTGAGGTACGTTGAGGGATGGCTAGAAAACCACCCGTGTCTGTCTGCGCTATGGGACTAAAGCACTTTGATTTCACATTATGACTTGTCACATTCCACAATGTTACTTTTTATAACATGAGCTAAAATTTAATGTGTTTTTTTTGTTGTTGAGATAGGAAGGACTTGATGCCCTGTGTCAGGATATTTACAGTCTAAAGGTACTCCGGAGTCAAATATTTTGGATACATTGCCAAGAAAGATGTGAATAGGAAATAAAGTTGTGTGGTACAGAAAACTGGAGCACTTACTGGTATCTTTTTAATGGTATGCCTGAAGTTCCTGGATGTGTTTGTTGACTTTTTGTGGTGGTGTGTGTAAGGCAGCAAGACTGTAATAGAAACATTTGGTATCTTTTGCTGTACCTTATGTTTGAAAAAGCTGAGAGGCCTGGAAGCCTGTTGGTTTTTATTAATACACTTTATATGGGAGTCTTTCTGGATGGTTACGAGTTGAGAATCTGTAAGATTTAGTTTTACTAAATAAAAAGAGCCCATGAATTGTTGATGCTTGAATCAGCCTCTGTTTGCTACATGCTGAGGTGCATATTGGCTGTTAAAACTGTATACTGTTTTGTGTTGGGGGTTTTTTTGTCATCAAGGTATCTGATACCATCTAACACTCAAGAAGTAAGACAGAAAAAATCGTGTTGTTTGCAAGGCAGTAAATTTTTATTTGGCAGTTACTCTCTAATAACTCATGTCAAAGTAAATGAAGACACAACAACTTTTTTTTTTTTAATGTAAGTATGTCTAAATAAGGGCCTGGGAGAGTGGCATTGCTTCACTTAAAATAGCATCCTGACCTTACTTCTGTGCAGCTTAATATCTCTGAGTCTGGAAAGAATAATACTAGTTTTGGTCACTGCATAAAGGTCAATGCCTAATTAAAAGAGGTTTAGGATTAAGGTATTTTGTAATGTGTCTTAACTACAGCTGGTGACTCCTCTAAAGGGAAGTTTCATTGCCAAGTTACACTGTGGGATTTGGGTCTATCTAACAATTCTTTGAGGCTGTTACGTTACCAAAAGATAGATTAGAACTAGTAACCTCGTGCAGCCAATAGCTCCTCTGACAGACATCCAGACTTGTGCTTAGGCTGAGAGAGAGGTCTGGGCTGGTACCATGCTGGTGGATCAGGATGCATGCAGCTCCAAAGCAATCAACCCTACTCAGGAGGATGGGGATGTGTATGAGAGAAGAAGGGATGGGGAAGTGTTCTTGGGAACTTAGAGGAGAGTGGATGCATGCAGGAAGCAGCTGAGGTTTTAGTGCAGGTGGAGAACTCAGTAGGAGAAAGTCTACATGAGCTCTGCTGATCCTGTGATGACTTGTTTGTATCTAAACATAGATCCCTTCTCCTACAGACTAATAGCTGAGATGACTTGCTGAGAGCTCTCATGTTAATGTCTGCTGCTATGCATTTTAGTTGGTCCTCTTACCATCATTTCTTAGTGTGACTAGTACTGTTTGCAAAAGCACAAACAGCTCTTGTGTTGAGTGAAGCTGCAGCTGTTGCAGGGAAGTTCTGGTACCTCAGAATTCTCACTTCAGGAGAAGCTTTTCAGCATTGCATTGCTGACTTATTTTTCCATGAGCTAAAAAAGAGAGCTAAGGGGATTACAGTCCTGACTTAATACACCTGGAGTTACATCAAATGCAGCTGAAGCTGAGGGCAATAGATTAAACTTCAGAGATTTCATCCAGAAAAAAAAAAGTCATTTATGGTCATGCACTTTGTTTTCTTGTTGGCATTAAAGAAGAAAAAGAAGAGGTGCACACTTTGATTTTTTCATGTCCTCAACCAAGTGTGGAGGAAAGGAAGAAGTCTGAGATTAATATTAGGGTTTGGGAGAGGGACAAGCTTTTCAGTGTGTGTTAAACTGTGAACAGTTTGACAGAAAAAAAAAAAAGGAATATATTCTTATGAATTTCCAATTTTGTTATATTGAAACATCATTTTGCACCTGTTCCAGAATTTATCTTCTCTGGTTTCTCAGTTTAGCCAAAATGAGTACTGATGTGCCCTAACACACATATATTGGAATAACACACATATATTGTAATAACACCCATTGGAAAAACTGATCCAACCCACCAGGTTCTGCCTGTTTTGTGTTACAGGTGAGGTATTTCATCTGCTGTGGGAAAACTTGAAGAAACCATATTCTGAGATTTTTTCCCAAGGAATTAAGCTGCTAGTGGCATGT